CAAGGAGATAATTTATAAAAAGTAATGAGAAGCAAAGAGAATATATACATCACTTCCAGAAATCTTGGTATGTGAGGGTGGAAAAATAAACATTCTCCATTTTAGAAAACTGCTTGTAGGGGATGCAGTGTCCTTAGGGAGCTAGTGTTTGGTTAAAGGAAGACAGTACAGTGAACATTCTGAGAAGAGGCTGGGGATACAGGAGTGAGGGCTGCTGATGGACAGAGGAAACAGAGGAAGGGCTTTGGAAATAGGTCAGTTTTTAAAAGAAATACAGAGCCATGTGGACTCTGTTTTCTACTGGAAGGCTGGGACTCATGGTAGTAACCAAAATAAGCAGCAATGGAGATCACAGTGGAACTGGTCTCAATTGCTTCTTAGGGGAAGTTTGATAATCAGTTTCCAAAGTGTGGTCTAGATCAACATCATAAGTATCACCTGGGAACCGATTAGAAATGCAAAACATCTGGCCATGCCCCAGATTTTCTGGGCCCAGCATCTGTGTCTTACAGCCCTCCGGGGTAATTTTGATGCACGCTAAAGTTTGAGAATGATTCTTCTGAAGTCTTTACCTAGAAGGTATAAAACAGCCAAGGGTTTGTTCAGTTCTGGAGCTCAAGGTCTTGAGACAGCTCAAAGAAGAGGATATTTACATGGTTTCTTGCTTGGACTTAAATTTTAAGTCTTGTGATATCTAACATTGTGGAATTGAAACTAGAATGTGATGTGAAAGCCTCCTTCAGATGTCTGATCTCTCTCATAGCCCAGCGTCTTGTGGCACAAAGAGGACAAGATGTTTGAAGACTCTCCTTGTTTGGTTTTTCCCAGAGCCTCAGCTGCTTAGTATATATGGGCGAAGAGAAGCATATACAAATATCAACAAAAATAAATAAAAAATACATAAGTCCAAGGGGATCAACATCAACTAATAAAAATTTATAAAATGAGTAAATAAAAATTAGGAAAATTCACCAGCTCATTATTTATTAATTTTTTTTCTTTTCCTGTGGGCTAGAGAAAACTTCAACTCTAACCAGCCTAGATTTGTGGTCCAACATTTTGTAGCTTTCAGGGTAGCTTTCATCTTCCACACTAGGTATTCAGAGAAACCTAAGAAGCCATTTTTAGCTATTTTTATTCTCTTTCTCTCTCCCTTTCCCTCTCAAAGCACCATTCAAATGGAATTTTCTATAATATTATGGCTAAACTTTTACAATGTAAAGTTAATTGATTGAGGTCAAATAATGTTTACCCTTAATCAGTATGAAAAACTAAACTACCTTTAACAGCCTCAATCATAATTAAAGACTAAACAGACAAAGAAGGCATTTTAAGTGTTCTTCCATAAAATTCATGTATCACTTAAGATTTCACTGTAAACCAACAAATTAGTATCCTATTGTATCTTGTGGAATAATCTACCTTCTTTGATAGTCACTGGTTATACATGCATATAATCGTAATATTGTAGAGTTGCACCTTAGAAGAGAGTTTCTGTATTGTTATTTAAGAAAGTTCATTAGTGTTTAAAAAAGTACAAGCACTTTGTAGTTTGGCTTTGTCTGCAGCTTGCTTTGCTTTCAGGTGCCATATATATTTTTTCCTCTTGGTTGATTTTATTCTAGTCTGACTTAAAATACCATGAGATATTGATCTGGCATCACTTATATCCATTTCTCATTCCTTTAATATCTGAATTTGCAGAAACTGAACGAGCCAAAGAAGAAGTTGGTGCTGTCTCAACTAAAAAAGGTATATGCAGCTTAAAGATAAAAATGTCATGACTATAACTTATTTCTGCTAAGATTTCTAAGTTAACATATTGTTTTATGCATATAGAAGATATGTATTTATTGATTTTACTATTTTATTGATACAGAACCAAACCGACTTTGCATAAGATTTATAGTATCTAAGGAGGGTTTGTCGGTAGTGTTCTAACACAAATAGACTTATTCCTTTAGGACCATAAATTAAAATTAGAAATTATAGTGAAATTGTAAGTTAGTTTTTGAAAAAATTGTACAAATATAACTGTTTAAACTCAGTAGGATCCTAGTCATCAAGAGAATATTCAAATTCAATATACTGCCCTAGGAGATTAGGGCTTGAACAAATGAAATTTTGACTAATAGAACTCAAAGGAGAAATGTTTACTTTGTGCAAAAATACTATCAAATTAGGAAATGTATTCTATGAGACACTGACTTGGGGATATTTTGCTTTAAGAAACATATTGGAAAATTTGGAATGAAATCAATAATGCATCCAATGTCTTCAGAAATGTACCAAGAAACAATTTTACAAGTTTATC